GTCTACCCAGAAAGCCACTCCTGGCAGCTTTGTGAAATCTTTAGAGACAAGCTCTTAGGACATCAGCAAACTCTGCTTCGTGTCCCCTCAACGACAGAGCTCCCGGTCATTGCAAGCAAACCTTAGTTTGGCCATTCAAGCACTGGAAAGCTTTTCCAGCCTGGAGCTGGATCTTGATTTTGGAGACCCTGCTAGGTACTAAATTTCAGTGCGTTAAGTTAAATACGGTTTGTGGGGGAATTTGGCCGATATAGACTATTAATTTACATAATTCCGGTTCAAACGTCTCTAGCAGATTCCTTGGCCCATGTTATCCAAAGCACTGCCTCCAATCTACTTTTCATCTTATTTGTAGACACTCGATTTACACAGCAGCCATTTAACTGATAGAATTACAATGATCAAACTAATTTAACCAGCGTAAGCAGCCAAGTTGGATCATTTAAACCAAAATCAACATTAAGGTCTGAATTACATGTCCGCTTTCCACCTGGATGCAGTGCATCGTATCCTCATATTTTAAGTCAGGGAGACAGTCTCCTGCAAGCCCCTCGGCCTCTCGTCTCCCTCCCCACTGGCTTCGACTTCTGTGTTGTTATGATCATGCCTGCTAAGTCTGGCCACTCTAGGAAAGCTGCCATGTTTATCAGCAGCAGAGGCGCTTCGGGGAGCTCTTGGCTTCGAGCAGCTGTAGCAGCAGCTGCCTCTCAATGCTCGGATTCACATCGTGGAGGAAACAGAATAGCCAGATTTCGGAGTTTGGAGAATCAGTATTCCTGCCGAGGGACTGGAGACTCCGCGTGTAAACATCACTACACCTTCACCGCGGCCAGTTTCTCACAAGTGCCGGCTGCTGATCACAGGAGTGAACAGGGCAGCCTCGCAACGTCCATCCAAGGACTGGGGGAAAAAATAATGCAAAAGACCAGCTCCTAAAGGATATTCTGTAGTCTCAGTCTCTCTCTCTCTCTCTCTCTCTCTCTCTCACACATACACATACACATACACATACACACACATTTCACAGTAAATGATAAAAACCTTTTTTCCTCACTCGTAAGAACTTTTTAGAGTTGACAATCCTCATAATTTACTGCACATAAAAATGCCTGTTTCTGGTTCTAGACTCCGAGATTTTGATCCAATAGGTGCTGCCTGAAGTCCTGGAACATGAATTTTTAAGCAGCGCTTGGAGGGTGAGTCTGGCTTGGTCGTCTGCACTATACGCTTTGAGAAACAGTAATTACGAGCCTTGATCAGGCTGGGACAGTGGCAATAGGATTTGTGCAAATATAAGAAAAAGAAGATAAAACAAAGACACGTGCTTTGTGGCCATATTTTCCTTCCCTTCCCCAAACACGAGCTGCACTTGCCGGTGGCGCTTAGAGAAGGCACACGCGAGCCGCGGCCAAGAAGCTCTTGTGAGGGTGACCAACTGTCCTGCTTTGCCTGAGACCGAGAGGTTCCCCAGGGGACTTCCAGCACCGAGAGGAAAGCCCCGGGAAAACAAAAATGACAAAACAGGGCACACCAACAGATGGCTTCAGAGTAAGTGCCAACAAGTTGCTCTGGAGGCTTGAGCGAGGAAACCGCCAGTTCTAAGACAGTAGGGGAAAAGCTTTATGAAAGAACTCGTGTTTGAGTCGGGGCTCAGCCAACAGGGAAAGACCTGCACAAACAAAACAGCATCTGCAAAGTCACAGAGGTGAGAAAGCGTCTGAAAACATCCAGGAAATGCCATTTGGGAAGGCGATGTGTGAGGGTCGGGGGCCCGGGAGAAACAGGCCTGGACGTCAGACCGTGAAAGCTGGAGAAGGTGCTTTTGGGAAAAGCATCACTGAACACTTGCTCTGCTGTGGTCCATTCCTCATGTTAGTAATGAGACAGGCACAGCGTTAGGAGCTGTCGGAACAGACGCGAAAGTGCGAGGGGGCCTGTGCTGGGAACTACACCTGTGCAGGTGGAACAGAAAAGATGCAGGTGATGCAGGAGCTCAAGGACATTCCGAAGAGACGGGAGGATGGCAGGACGGATTCCTTGTGACAACTGAATGAAGAAGAGGCCATGAGAACATTGTCGAGGTTTCTGTAAGACCTGTGATTGTGACGATGTTTGTTATTAAAAGAATTTGGGAACATTTGTTTCTTTGGTGAAAAAGCTAAGTTAATAAATTCAGTTTCGAATACCTGAGTTTAGGGGCCTGACCCAGATATCTCTTGCTGTGAAACAAATGACCCTAAAACCTAGAGCCTTAAAACGATCACTCATTATCCTCCCCCAGGAGCCTGTGTGTCGCCTGGTTCAGCTGGGCAGTGCTAGCTTGGGACCTTTCAGAGCTGCAATGGGGTCGAGGTTAAAGGCTGGTGGGCTCGGCTTTGCCTAGGAAGCTGCCTTAAGGGAGCTGCACTCCTGAAATGGTGGCTGGCTTCTACGAGGCCACAGCAGAAGCTGCCAGGCCTCTTAAAAGCTGGGTCTCACATGGGCACAGCACTCGCATAAATAACATTATTTCTTCATGTCTCATTGTCAAAGTGGTCACAGGCCAGCCCAGGTCTGGGGGCCTGGGGAGAAGAGGTGCCACATCTCCGTGGGCGGAGGGGTCAGCAATGTGCAGCCGCCTCTGCTCTGTTACAGTGCTTACGGGACATACACGTGGAGAAATGTCGAGAACAACAGTGAATCCTAGTCTGGCTCTCCAGAAAGAAATCAGAATTAGAAACGTAAATGGATGGAGAATGAATAAACGAGTGAATAAATAAAGCATGGGTATTGAAATCAGCTTTATTTGAATGTAACCTGAAAAAAATATAAAGCAAAATTATAAATCAGGATGGGGGTATTACAGCGAATATAATATGTAAATATCTACCCCAGGTACTGTATTTTATACCGTAATTGTGCAAGCATAGAAACTTACACACGAATGGAATGGGTGTCCGGGCCACCCCAGCTTCTGAATTAGAAGTTGGAAAATATTGTTAAATGTAGATAAAATAGTTTCCAGCGTTTACTGGTAGAAAAAAATAGAAATGAAACATCTCGATATATTTCAGATTAATCTTTGCCATAAGCAGATAACGTTTCGTGAATGTGGCTTTTAATGAATCTGGCTCCCATGAGTCAGCTTTCCTTACTTCTTTTTATCCTGACTCTGGACAAAAGCAATGAGCGAGGCCAGTAGTAGGGTGGAAAATGAGCAGCGAGTTTTCATTTGAAAATTGCTAGAGGTTACTATTTAGCTCCAATCACAATACTAAAAAAGAGATATTAAAAGAAAATTGCTATTTTTAGAGGACATAGTTGAATCAAAAGTAAATAGTTTAGAAAGAGACAGAACACTATTCCATGCTTAGGATCCTTCGCTGGGATAGGCAATCTGTTTGATTTTATTCCACAGCATGGATTTCTGCTATGTAGCTGGGAATATTCTATGTAGGCTCATAATTTCACCTTTACGACTTAGCGTTCTCACTAATTAGGTCGTAAGCTGTCTGCTGAGGCTAGTCTGTAATTTTACACCTCGTGTCTGGCTTCTTCCCTTAATAGCATGAAAGGGACAGGGGCAATGAATCCGAAGATATTAAATCTTGATCGAATAATGACTATAAAATTATGATCATGAGCTGCATCTATACGTGTGCTATGTATGAATACGCATCTATACAAGTATATACATGTACAGATCTATATTCTAGCTATGGTTGGTTCTTTAATTTGGAAAACAAAAGAGCTGATAAAGAGGAAACAGACAAAGCCACGCAAATTGAGCTTTAGACGGCAAGGAACCTACACATCAGACTGACATTAACTGCTAGGACCAAGGCATGCTGGGACAGTCGTTCACCTGCATTTAAAGGCAGCACAAACTCACCGCGACCTTTAGCCCAGCTCTCTACAAACCCTATCCGTGAGCACGCCAAGCAGAAGGAGGAAACCTAGGCTGGGACCCGTCACTTTAAAAGGATTGTTCGCAAGAAGAGATTTAAAGATATATGTAAGGTAAGATGCAAGAATACACATATACGTATATAATTATCCTGATGAAATAACTAGATTTTAAACCACCTAATGGCTAGAGAGTCCTTGCATTTAGCAATGTAATTTTCCGTTACCAATTGCAGTAGCGATAATTTCTCAGCGCAAAACTGTGAAGGGAAGACCTTAAAGAATGATGACAATTTTTGTGCCCTCTTCACCCCATAACGCTATGTCACGTGTCTGAGCCAAACGCAGGACAGCGGCAGAGCCTGTGAGGCACCATTCATTCCAAGAAGCCTTTCGCCCACGTGGAGGCTGACACTCCGGTGAGCGTCCATTGGCTGAACGATCGCATAAATGAATGCTATTCGGAACAGCTTTAACTTGCACAGCTGACTTCAGAAATGTGTGACTAAGCTTCCAAATTGGCACCAAAGGCACATTTGCAGGAGCCGCCTTATCTCTGCACCACTTACTGCCTTTCATCCCTCATCCCTCCTCGCTTCCTGCCATTATCATCTTCCCTGTCATCACAGGCAGCTGAAGTCTCTCCTTCAGAATCAAAGGCCCTTGGAGGACAGGCCCGCTGAAAGCTACGGGCGGCTGCCAACGGGGCGCGTTTCTTTCATTTACATTTTGATTAAGTGAAAGTCTCTTAATTTGGGTCATTATCGATAGATAAATCTGTAAAGAAAATGAACATGCATCTATAATGCGACCGACATCACGTGATTTATTATTCTTATCGTGCGTAAATACAGAAGAGGGGCGGTGAAAAAAAGTAAGTCCAGCTTTTAGTTCCCCTGGACAGGGAGCACTGCCAGCGACTCACGGGGCAGGTGACATCCTCCGCGGAGGCCAGCCCGGGCTCTCCCGAGTCTCGCCTCATCATTCCTTGCACTGAACTAGGTCTCCGATCTTAAAACCCGTCATGCATACACAGATCTGTCTCCTGCACCTGACCGGCTCTCCTGGGAGCGACTGGGAGTGGGAAGACGAAGGGCCCAAACGGGTGTCCATACCTGATTGTGGACTTTGTTCAGGGATTCTGGCTACCGCCTGCGGGCTGGACGTGGCGCGCGCTCGCTGGCTGGCGGAGCCGTGGCCGCCGGAGACCGCCGCCGACGCGTTCTTGCGGGGCTTGGTGTCCTGCAGCCACATGGGCGAGGCCTCGAAAGCCTGCATCCTGCGCGCGTGGCTGCTGGTGGCGACGCGCAGGTAGGCCTGCGCCTTGTACTCCTGCAGCTCCCCGTAGTTGGCGTCCGTCACCCGGCACTCGTACAGGCCTTCGTCCTTTTTCCTCACTTTGGAAATCTGAAGCTTGTGAGAGATGTCATTGCCTTGGACTTTCACTGTCTGGAAAATTGCAGGTAAAAAAAAAAAAAATAAAGGGCTGCATCAAATGGCTGCGTTCGCGCGCTCGCTCGCGCCGCGGCGTGAAAAGGCCCTCACGGTGGCAGTCAGGGGGCTCGCAGGCGCCCCGAAGTCCGTTCTGAAGGTCTCACTCGTCCTCGTCTGCGACAACCGGCTGCACCGACCCGGGATGATTAGGCGCCAGAGTCCGCCGGCCACGTGGTCGCATCCCCCAGGCTGCGGGAGCAGCTCCGGCACTGCCCAGTGGCCCGGTGGGCCCCGGCCTGGTTAGCTCGGCTGAACGAAGTACCTGTCTCATGAGGCCACGTCGGGAGTTTACACAGCCTTTCTCTCCGCTTGGGGCTATGACTCTGAGAGGTCACAGAAGTATTTTGTTGGTCCTTGTGACCAAGGAATTTAAGTGAGAATGTGCTTTTATATCGGAGTGGCTAGTGAAGGTACTGACAAAATAAACGTGGATATTAATGATTTTTCTTCTCAAATTTTTGGCGCACTCTGACTTATCGTCCAGGGGTGGCATAGCTCGGGGTGCACATTAATGTCACCCGAGTCTTACGGTGCAGAGTACATACTCCCTGCCACTATAGGATCTTTACATTACTGGAACTTGAAATTAACACTGGTTGATATTCAAAATTGAAACTGGCTTTCTTATTTCTCCTAATAAGTTTTATGCCAGATTAATAGCAAAATTATACATATGATTGCATTTAATACATGACATTCTATATCATATTATCTATATCCATGAGCATCTTTATCAGAACAGTTAGATTGGATATACATTATATATTATCCACGACTGACTGAATGATAAGATTTCATAAGACATTCAGGATTCAAGGATCTGGATGATTTTGAAAGAAAGAGAAAACAAATGAAGGTGACAGAGTTATTCTGCTCCTTCATTATACTTTCAAATGGCCATAAATGGTTAAGAAAACTTGGGGGTTCCTCCATTTTTCACATATAGAGTTGTATATACAAATAGTTTTCAGCATTTGAACCATAACCATAAGTACATATGTGAATGGAAAATTACATATAAATATACTACTATAACAATAATGGAAATTAATAGCTTCACGTGTATTCTGTGTCTTCAGGGGGTGAAGCTCAAATTGGTATTTTATAAAAGCTCTCCTGGGAACTCTAAGGTAACAATTGCTGTTTTAGGACGTATGTTCAAGGTCATACAGTGGTAAACTGGGAAGTAATTACTTTCTATCTCAATTTGTATCTAGAACTCTTTTTTTGCTAGATTTTTTGAACTATCGGTACAGATACTACTGTGAGCAGTTGTATCCATGATTATGATTATGTATCTGATCGTATTGCTCCCCTAGGTCAGGATGTTGGAGGCTGTTTTCATTGCTGATCTTTGGAGGTATGGCCGGTGAAAAGTGAAAGCTGACTCATTGATAAATAATCTATCCAACTATACGTGTGTATGAAAAGTAAAATGTTTAAGAAAAATATTGTTAACGATTGATTCTGCCAATAAAGTTTTACTAGCATTGTCTGAAAACATCAGTTTCCGTGACATAAGAATAATTTAATTGAAATATTATAAAAAGTGTGAGTTTATGAATATAAATTGGAGTTTCTGGTTTATATCTTATTTTTTGTTTGACATTTGCTTCCATTTTGAGATTATGCAGTTGAGTTACAGAATTTGAATCTACTAGAACAATACACTTTTACAGTTTTAGTTAACTCTAGCCTTATACCACTTGACGCTGCTGTAAAAGCCTCAGAATAACTTCCTTTTTAAATGTAGGTCATTAGATTTTTGTCATATACTTATTTTTTGTAATATATATGTAATATATATGCTTAGCGGGTCTCCTTTCTTATTATATAACTTTCATTTCTAGTAATGGAAACATTTACTAATTATCAACCTAATTATTCAGTTCTATTAACATAAAGTGATTCCATATGGCTTCATTTAAGTTAAGGTGTTGTAAAAAAAATAACTTTCATGTTTTTCTAATTTAACACACAATTATGAAAAGTAATAACTGGTGGGGTAGAAATGCATCTCTACAGTTTCAATAGGTGAACCTCTTCCAGTTATGTTATGTCTATGCTGGCTTTTAGTTTTAGCTTTCTGTGATTTTGAACACTGGCATTAGAAATACAGTACACATATCAGGAATAGTAGTGAAAACTGAAGTTTTCATCACAACTTCAACATCCTGTGTGATGCTTTAATTTTGTTTTCTGCCTAGGAAGATTTTCCTACGTAAGTTTTACTTCTCGTTAAAGGATAATTATTTCCATAACTTCGAACGGATATTAGCATTGCAGCTCTTAACTCTTAAGATTTATATAACTGCTAAACAGGCAAGAAAAAAGGGTCGCAAACCCTTCATGATAGCAAAATGATTCTCTACTAATGTTTAAATATTTCGGCGATTAATATACATCATTTTATTGTACCGACTCTAAATCGGCTTGCACTTTGATGCACCCAGTGAGGTAAGAAAGAGACACCGGTTCTCCTGCGTTTGCAAAATCGCCTTTTTTTCCAGGGACAATAAGTTAAAAGGCTTTTAAAACCCTCAAATGCATTGATTTTTGCGTTGGGCCTGCCTGGCAGCTGACAAGGGCATGCGCCCCCTGCCGCCCGTCCCCGTGATACTCACGCTGATCTTGGTCCCGTCGTTGTCCGGGTCTCGGTCGGGCACGAGCTCCACCTGCGGGAGAGGGAGGCGCGCGCTCAGGTGGGGACCCGGACGGTCCCAGCCAGGGCGCGCGCGGCCGCGCGGAGCC